CTGTGGTTGAGCAACATCCATGGCAAGATTTTAGTTAGCCAGATGTCCACTTTCCGCGGGAGTGACCAAGTTTCATGCAGTCCCATAAAGTTTGTTTACAGCCATCAGTTCTGGCTATCTGTGCTGTTATTTAGCTCCAATTTACCCCGAATGTCTTCTAATAGCCCTGTAAGCAGAGGAAGTGTTGGCAATGCTGCTAGACAATATTGACCTGTTAGGCACTGGTCAGGTCACATGGGTGCTGGACTATAGAGGTTCAACCTATATATAATTACTTCCTGAGACAAGCTGCTCTTGCAAGCCAGAGCCCAGTTAAATTCAGATACAGGATGTTACAAAATTACTCTGTCTCTTTATACATTTCTGGTGGGTATGTCTAATAAGAGAAGTAATGCATCATACACACACAAACACCCCAACGTCATATGATAACCAAGCTCTTAAGCACTTTGCATCAGTTAATAAACATTACCAAATATAGGAGAACAAAAAGTAAGTTGAGAAGCAAGAAGAATAATGTTCTGTATACTACTCTCTAACCCTAAACATATGGTCCGGTTTTAACTTTTTATCTTAAACTATGTGTTTCCTTTAAAAAACAAATTTAACACAACTTGTTTTTAAACACACACACGACTGTTGAAATGGAATTTATTGAGGGCCGCTGTATGGGAGATAAAAGTTTGAGAACAACCTCTGGTCTCTAGGTTGAGGAGTCACAGATTGCACGGTAAGCTGGTGTTGACGGCACCACTCGAACAGCCTCTTGAGGCTAGTCAAAACATGTCAGTTTTGCAGGATACATTAAAGCAGCTCAGCATGGTAGAAAACCTCTGGATTTGAAGACAAATTGGGACCCAGGATAAAATACATTTTCATAGTAGTGTAGTGATAATAGGTAGAAATAGCAATGATTGTGCACTAGAGCCAAGTCTACACTACGTGGAAGATCAACACTGCCACGATCTATCTTCCAGGGTTCAATTTAGTGGGTCTAGAAAAGACCTACTAATACGAACTGAGAGGGTACACCTGTGGGTGCCAATACTTCTGCTCCTCCCAAGGATCAAGGGAAGTCTACAGGAGTGTTTGCTCCCATCAATATCCATCCCACTGTGTGGACAGTGATTTAAAATATATCGACTCCAGCAACGTAATTAATGTAGCTAGAGTTGTGTATCTTAAGTTGACCTTCTTCTTCAGTGTAGACTTGCCCTCAGTGATTGCTCATACTGAACTTAGGACACTGGAAATGGTTTTGTTGAGAGAAGGAAACACTAAGCATTCCTGATATCTGGAACAATCTCACTAAAAATAACTTCAATTTAGGTAAAGATTTAATCTGAATCATAACTTATCACACAGTGTAATTGCTGGGCATTATTCGGAGTGATCAAGTAGACTATCTTGGGGTGGGGGGGGGGAATACTTTTTGATGGGGGCCACTCCCAAGAATTTGAAAAATAGTCAAGGGCCACACTCTTCCATATTAATGGAGGTGGTGTGGGGTCTGGGATGGAGGTTGGGTGCAGAAGGGAGCTTGCAGTAAGGGAGTAGGGTGCAGGAGAGTGGGCAGAGTCTGGGAGGGAGTTTGGGTTAAGGAGGCAGTTGTGACTTGGGTTAGGGAACTAGGGTTGTGACCTTGGGCAAGACGGGGTTGTGACCTGGGGAAGGGGACTATGGTGCAGGAGAGAGTGGAGAGGTTTGGGTCGTGACTCAAGGCAGGAGGAGGTTGTGACTTGGGCAGGGGCGCAGAGATTTGAGTTGTGACCAGGGGCAGGAGACTGAGGTGCGGGATATGGGAGGAGATATGAGGGCAGGAGGGGGCAGTAGGTTTGGGTTACGTGGAGTAAGGGGGCAAAGGGCTGGAGTGCTAGAGGCAGGCTCTGGCTGGGAGACTTACCTGCTTGACTCCCAGCCAGCAGCCTTCTCAAGCAAACTCCTTGCCTGCCCCGCTCCCACAATGACTGCAGGGGCCATGTGGTTTCTAAATAGCTATGAGCCTGAGGGGTGGGGAAAAGAGTGCTTCACAAGCTGTCTGAACAGACAGCTCTCACTGGCCAGAAACTAGCCAATGGGATTGTGCTGGGGTGAGGGCAATGCATGAAGCCTCTTTCCTCTTCCTGGGGCTCAGAGCTGTTCAAACAGACCCTGCAATGGCTCTTTGTCTCAGCAGCGTATGGGGGCAGAGCAGGCAAGGAGTCTGCCTGAGGCTCCCCACTGCATCTGCAGGCCAGATCTGGCTGCTTGGCGGGATGGATTCAGCCCATGGAGGGTATTTTGCCCAGGCCTGCTTTAACTTACAATCCTCTGACTCTCATGCAATGGAGCCATATGGATCATTATTCTGTGTTAATACACAAAGGCTCCTCTACCAATGTGATACCTTGAGAAGTCCACGTTTATTTTTAAACTCTACCTTTTTCTAAAAGGGGGTAAAGAAATAGAGGTGCATGGTCTTATCTGGATAAGCTGCATGCCCCACAATCACAACCCATGAAAAGAACCATTCTGTGTCACAAGAGGTAAAGAAACTAGTAAATATAAACATTAAGGACGGGTTCAAAACCCACTGAGATCAAGGAAAGTCTTTCAATTGACTTTAGTAAGCTTTTGAGCTCAAGCCTTAACTCACTCTTTTATCTTATACAGAATCTTTTGATACTCAAGATTAAAGATTAATAAATCAAGTCACCTGAATGGTTCTTTTTTCACATTTTTGATTGGACACTAACTTAAGAAAAAAAACTTAGCATTTTGAAATCTCAAGAATCTAATTTGTCCGCAAATAAAACAAGACTAAAACCAGATTTAAATCTTAGTTTTTTAATAGCAACTTAGAATTTTGCATTCATCACGTAGAAACTTATTAGATAGAATGACGTTATTTGCTTTACCAGATTATCTAGCATTCGCATAAGGGCTTCAAACTCTTGCTCTCCAATCAGCCATTTTGGATGGGATATAGCACCTTCAGTTGCTGGAGACTCAGGAGAACGAGATTTGGCTTTATATTTTCCAGGGTCTAATAGCACTAAGTTGTCAGGCCCACCTGCACTGGCCAGAGTACGTACCTTTTAAAAAATAAATGTGGTTTAATTATTTTTAAACAAACACTGGATAGTTATAGAAACAGTAGAAGGACTCTTCGGTTTTGCAAATTCTAATATTGCATTTAAAATTAAATACATTATAACCTTGTAATAATAAAAGTATTTTAAGCAGCATGAAAAATTACATGTTTAACATTGTTGCTTTAATGAAAAGTAGAATGGTAATTTGGGAGCGATTTATGAGGGATCAGTAGTTCTAGTTTGCTAGCTGAACACAGTTGCTGAACTATAGTTGTTCCCGCACGATGAAAATCAATCCAGGAATCTTTATTTTGTTAAGTTAGCTTGAAATTATAGGCGTGCGCATGGGGTGTGCCGGGTGTGCCTAGGCACAGCCTAATGTCTCGGGCCGGCTACTGGCTGTTGGAGGAAGAGGGGGGATTTGTGACGGGGCGCCGCAGCCCCTCACTTGAAATTCCCCGCGGCCATCTACAGGGCACTGTGGGGAAGAGAGAGCACATGCGTGGTGTCCTCAAATGCTGCACAAACAGGTGAGAGGGGAGACGCCTGGGCATCGTGTGACATCACGGCCTGGGATTTTAAAACCGTGCAGCCCAGCTCCAGAAGTAGCTAGGGCCTGACTACAGAGGCTGGACCAAGCCATTTTTGCGGCCCGGGCCCCGCCCAACCCCGCCCGCCTCTGTGGTACTGTGCGGCACCCCTGAGGCACCCCCCACCTGTCCTGGCAGCACCGTACGGTGCCCCGGGCCAGCCTGTAGCTTGGGCTAGCTCTGACTCCAGCCCCGTAAGCTGGAAGGCAGAAGCTGAAGGGGAGGGGAGAAGAAAGGGGGAAAAATAAGAGGAAGGGGCTTGTGCTGAGGGGAGAGGGGCAGGTCAGAAGAAGAAAGGGGAAGGCACCAAGGGACAGGGTAGAAGAGACAAATGCCACGTGGCCAAGTGGAGACAATGAGGAAAAGGGCAGGAGGTGGGACTGGGTGATGCTGGGAGAGGAGAGGGTAAGGTTGGAGGGGAAGGTGCTGGGAGAAGGTTTGAAAGAAGGGGTGGGCATGAGGAAGGCAGGGATGGAGCAAGTCATGTGTGAGAGCACAGGGGCATGAAGGGAATGGGGGTATCGGATGGTGAGAGGGTGGGTATCAAGGAAAAAGAAGGCAAAGGGGGCAGGGGCAGTGAGGGAAGGGGGAGACACCAGGAGGGTGCAGGGGTAAGGGAAGGAGCAGATGCCAGGGGATTCTGGGGCTGAAGCAGAAGGGCAGACACCAGCAGGGGAGGGACCAGCACCAGAGGAGAGAGGTAGGGCAGGTGTGTAGAGGCAGTTAAGAGATGGGATGAGGAGAGGTAGCTCATATGATCAGAATGGGCCTACTGGAGGAGTGGGCACAGGGGGGAGAAAAGGGCTGTTGGAGGGGGATAGGTCTCAGGAAGGCTAAGGGCAATGAGAAGGGCAGGAGTCAGGACAGCAGAGGAGGGTGAGGGGTTGGGGGGCAGCAGGCACCAGAGGAGCTGATGGAGCAAGGGGAGGAGATATGGCAGCAGAGGGAAAAGGTAGAAGTTTATGAGATATTTAATAACAACATGGGTGCCAAAGTGGCACATCCATACAAGCCACATGAACTCAGTACTCATGCACAACACAAAATTCATTCTGCTCATGGGAGGAAACTCTTAGAGGGAACACTTCCCCTAGCCTCTCTGCCCCTGAGTTAATGTCACACACATTGGGTTAATGCAATGGGGAAGGGCGGGTTGCATGGGGGAGGGGGGTTTAGTGGGGGCCAAACTAATCCCTATTGGTAGGAGGATGGTGGGAAAAGTCCTCAGAGGGGGGCACATGACACCTTTTACTTCTTGTCATGTGTCCATCTTGCCCCGAGAGTGTTAACTCCAGAGTTGTGGCCAATGGGAGTCAAAGTACATTTAAAAAAAATTCTTTGGATGCACACCCTAACGAAATGTGCTGCGCATGCCTACGCTTGAAATAGCTGAATGCCACTTCCTAACCAATCTGCTGATTGGAGGTTATGTATCATGTTATAAGCAAACAAACTAATATATATATATATATATATCAAGATTCTTACTTGAATCTCACAGGCAACTACTAGGTTATGAATATAGTAGAAAGCCTCTTCAATGGTCTCCCCAACTGATACCAAGCCATGGTTTCTGAGAATAAGGACCTAAAAGAAATGGACATTTCAAGCAATATGAGCTGCTATAAGAAATCTACCTGCCAAGAACTAAAACCACCCCTCCTTCCCATTTCCATTTTAAAAAAAACAACACACTATTTTCTTTTAATAGTGACCTGTGGATAGAATAACTGACCTTGCTTTTAGGTCCCAAATTTTTCTGAATTAACACTTTTTCTTCATCATCAACCAGAATACCATGATAGTCATGATAGGCCACTTCTCCAAGAGAAAGTGCTTCCGGTGAAATTGGTAAGAGACCACACTTCATTGCAGAAACCTGAGAAACACGACAGCAGATTTTGAGAGAGAAGTAAAGAAAAACAAGTCACTGGTTTATATTATATACACTAACGAGTGTTGTATAGGATAGGGACATAAGCAACTAGTCGACTATCCACTAAGTATAAGCTTATCCAACAGTCATAACATAAGAACGGCCGTACTGGGTGAGACCAAAGGTCCATCTAGCCCAGTAGCCTGTCTGCGGACAGTGCCCAGCACCAGGTGCCCAGAGAGGGGGGACCGAAGACAACGATCAAGCGATTTGTCCCCTGCCATCCTTCTCCAGCCTCTGACAAACAGAGGCCAGGGACACCATTTCTATCCCCTGCCTAATAGCTTTTTATGGACCTAACCTCCATGAAATTATCTAGCGTCTATTTAAACTCTGTTGTAGTCCTAGCCTTCACAGCCTCCCTTGGAAAGGAGTTCCACAGGTTGACTACACGCTGTGTGAAAAAGAACTTTCTTTTATTAGTTCTAAACCTGCTACCCATTAATTTCATTTGGTGTCCTCTAGTTCTTCTATTATGGGAACTAATAAATAACTTTTCTTTTTTCGCCCTCTCCACACCACTCATGATTTTATATACCTCTATCATATCCCCCCTCAATTTCCTCTTTTCTAAACTGAGAAGTTCCAGTTGCTTTAACCTCCCTTCATATGGGACCCATTCCAAACCTCTAATCATTTTAGTTGCCCTTTTCTGAACCCTTTCAGAGTTCAAAATATATTTTTTGAGGTGAGGAGACCACATCTGTACACAGTATGCAAGATGTGGGCATACCATAGTTTTATATAGGGGCAGTAAGATATTCTGGGTCTTATTTTCTATCCCTTTCTTAATAATTCCTAGCATCTTATTTGCCTTTTTGACCGCCACTGTACACTGTGTGGAGGTTTTCAGAGAACTATCCACGATAACTCCAAGATCTCTTTCCTGATTTGTCATAGCCAAATTAGCCCCCAACATACTATACATATAGTTGGGGTTATTTTTCTTGATGTGCATTACTTTACACTTATCCACATTACATTTTATTTGCCATTTTGTTGCCCAATCACTCAGTTTGCTGAGATCTTTTTGGAGTCCCTTACAGTCTGCTTCTGTCTTGACTATCCTAAACAGTTTGGTATCATCCGCAAACTTTATCACCTCACTGCTTACCTCTTTCTCCATATCATTTATGAATAAGTTGAAATTGGTCCCAGGACTCACCCTTGGGGGACACCACTAGTTACCCCTCTCCATTTTGAAAATGTACCATTTATTCCTACCCTTTGTTTCCTGTCTTTTAACCATTTCTCAATCCAAGAAAGGACCTTCCCTCTTATCCCATGGCCATGTAAGTTACACAAGAGCCTTTGGTGAGGGACCTTGCAAAGGCTTTCTGAAAATCGAAGTATACTATATCTACTGGATCCCCCTTGTCTGTATGTTTGTTAACCCCTTCAAAGAACTCTAATAGATAAGTAAGACATGATATCCCTTTACAGAAACCATGTTGACTTTTGTCCAACAATTATGTTCTTCTACGTGCCTCAATTTTATTCTTTACTATTGTTTTGACTAATTTGCCCGGTACTGAAGTAAGACTTACTGGTCTGTAATTGCCAGGATCACTTCTAGAGCCCTTTTTAAATAACAGTGTCACATTGGCTACCTTCTAGTCATATTTGCTCCTTTCTAATCACTACACAAAGAGGTCTGTTTCAGGGATGAGCAAACAATTTATTAAGCAGTCTCTGTTCTTCCAGACTATCCATGGGCAAAATATCATGTATCCTTTAAATAATTTTCTGCTAAGTAATGTGCAGCAAATTGTAGTACATCTGAAATGACATGTATGGCCCTATGTCCCTTCTAATTCACTTGGAAGTACTGATATGCCAGTGGACCATCGCACTTCAGAGGATTGCTACTAAGGATGTTAATTAATGAGTAATTTACTAGTCGAGTAGTCGATGAAAATTCCATTGACTACTCGACTAGGTTTTTTAGCAGGCTTCCTGCTTCTAAAGTACTTAAACATTTTGTTATATCTTTTTGAGTTTTTGGCTAGCTGCGCCTCAAAACCTTTTTTTGCTTTTCTTATTACATTTGTACACTTGATTTGACAGTTTTTGTTTCTCTTTCTATTTATCTCACTAGGATTGGACTTCCACTTCTTAAAAGATGCCTTTTTATCCCTCACTGCTTCTTTTACATGGTGGTTAATCCACGGTGACTCTTTTTTAGGTCTCTTGCTATGTTTTTTAATTTGGTGGTATACATTTAAGTTGGGCCTCTATTATGGTGTCTTTAAAAAGTTTCCATGCAGCTTATTTGGCTCTAGTCATTGTGCCTTTTAGCTCTAATCAACTAGTGATGCCACTAGAAGCTTCCCCCACTTGCTGCCTCAGAGAGAGGCAGCAAAGAGGGTTGGGGGGAGAGCAGGAGCTAGGCAGAAGCTGTTTAAAAGCTGGTTCCCCCAGCATCACCTCCACTGGGGGCGGGGTAGAGGGGGTAGAGGTACAGTGGGAAACAGCGTAAGCAGGGACTGAAGATTCCGCTTTTGAAATGTGATTCCGCTTTTGAAATGTACAAGAGCCCTACCAGGGACTCCCTCCGTGGCTCCGTGCAGGGCTTCCTTTTGAAAAGTACAAGAGCACTGCCAGGGCTCTTGAATGTTTCAAAGGCTGAGGTGCTATAGGGAGTGTGGGAGTCTGCTGGGGCTCTTACACATTTCACAAGCTCAGGAAGTGCAGGCCAGTTCCCCGCTGGCTCCGCGCTCCATGCAGAGCTTCTGTTTTTTAATTGTAGCAAGAGCCCACCAGTGCTCATTACAGTTCAAAGGTGGAGGCGCCCTTATCGACTAACCCAATAGTTGATGGAAATCCCATCAAGTATGCAATTAGTTAATTAATCTAAATTTAACATCCCTAGTATATGGCAAACGTTCATTGTTAATATTTAAATTATAGCTGAGACACTTAAAAGCAAGAACTGAAGAATAGTCAAAAGAAAAGACAAAACTGTGAAAAGACATAAGACAACTTATCTTAATTCGTACTTTTTTTTTAAAATTAAAGTAGACACTTTAAAAATACAAGGTAAGAGACAAGCTTTCCTGCAAATTATTACACAAAACCACAGTTGTTAACCATTGCTAAAGCTTAAAATTCTCAGAATATGACTGAAAAGTCAGGAATTTTCTTAATTTTGGTCTTGTTATCCACTTTAAAATCGCTTCATTGCTGTTCTGAATCAATTTAATAAAAAAAAAAGCAAAATAAGAACTGCAGTAAAGCAATTTACTGGATATCTGAAACTCAGTCAATGAACTGAATCCTTAAAATAGCTTTCAAGGTAGATTTGATAATTATTTATAATTAATTCTTGGAAACTGATAAAAACAGGGTTCGATAAAATCAACATGGATATCCACAAATCCTGGTATTTAAGACCAATACTGCTACTTGTTCGGTGAAATAGTTACAGATGTGCTACCAGAATAAAATGTAGGTAGGATGCAAGTTCTCCTATATATAGAACATATATGGATAAAATATCACAAAATGTGCCTTACTAGGAAACTTTAGCTTGTTTTGAACGGTCAAAAACCATTCAAATCTGAAATTTGCCATTTGCCTAGTGTTACTTCTAAATATTGATCCAAGATTTCTTACTCACGAACATTAGCACAGATAGCATCAATTTCTACAGCAGGGCCCAATTCTGCAAGCACTCACAATGCAGGTATACTCACATGAGCAGGCCTATTAACTATTTGACTTCAAATAGGATTCCTCACTAGAATACAGCTTTAAGGGGAGCAAGACATTAAACTATAAAAGTAAATATATGACTGCTTGGGCCCAGGTACACTTTTCTTAAGATCTACAGTAAGAGGAACTACTTACCGCTGCTCCTGCTGGTGTATGAATATGAACAATGCATTTAATATCAGGTCGAGCAGCATAAATTGCAGAGTGCAATGTAAAGCCAGCTTGGTTTACTCCCAGATTAGTGCTTCCACGATCAACTACATCTCCTTGAATATTGATTTTAACCTGACAATATAACAAAACATTGCAATAGAAAGTATTACAAGTTATTATCCAAAATGTATTCAATTCAGCATCTTTCTATAGCAGTTTGAAAAACTGTAACAATATCATGCAATGTGACAATGTTATATAAAATACATATAAACCCATGTCATTAACAGCAATAACACTCAACTTTAAGATCCATGTATTTTCAATAGGGATGTTAATTATCCGCTATTTGTGTAAATGTGTAACTGCTTGAAATTCTAGCAGTTACACATTTACTTGTGGAAGGGGAGCCAGGAACCAATGGTCCCCATGAGCACTGGTACCGCCTGCCTCCTGCCCCACTGTCTCTTATAAAGAGGCAGCAGTGTGGGGTGCAGGCAGCTCTATGGCACCTGATACAACTTGCAAGCCGCTTCCTGTGTATACTGGTTCCCACCTGTCCCCATTTTCCGCACTGCTGTCCAAGGTGGCTCCATGGAATCTGGCATGGGCAGAGAGTTGGCTTAAAAGCCAGCTCCACACATGCAACCCTCCCCCCCACCGCTGCCTTTGTGGGAGGCAGCTGGCTCCACGGGAGCCAGCATGTGGAGGGAGCCAGCTTTTAAAAAAATAATTAAAAAATTCATGTATCAGCTCCCTACACATATCAGCTCCCGCCATCCTGATACATACAGAGGTAGCGGTGTGTGGGTGGGTGGGTAATAGATAGTAATAGATAGGATTAACCGATTATCGGTTAATTGTGCAGTCGACTACATGTTGACATCCCTAATTTTAACAGCTGTAGAAACACAAAACAAGCCTTCTACATCATTACTTTTTTTGTAAGAAATCAAATGCATCAACAAGCAATTGCATAAATACATTATTTCCCTCCCCCGACATCAGTCAACTTTCACTCCCTTGATTCTTGTGATAACATTTCAACTAGTTTTTCATTAATCAGAAAGTCTTGTAGACTGGCATGGCCTGAATAACTAATGTAAAACAAGCAAAAAGAAACAGCCTTTTAGAAAACTAACAAAACCTTTCTGTCCTCCTTTATACAAAATACAAACTCACTTCTTGACTTTTCTTTTCAGGTCACCTTCTACAATATTACAATGCTTATAAGGTTTCCCTAATATTCAGCTCCTGGAATGTTATTCAGTCCTCTTCTTCTCCTCATCAGTTAATAAATGTGCTCTTTTTTATAGCTGATTTTTTCCCCCTTCCCAGATGCAGATAAATATCAACAGGTTGTCAATAAATCCCAAGACTATGAATGGTTTACTTTGGCCTTTCATTAGCAGCTACAGCTGTGTTTGAAAGTCTGTGGACTCTTTACATGTAAATTGGACCATCATGAGTGTTTAATTTTAAGTACCTTAGATACTAATTAAGAAATTCAATTAAATTCTCATCCTCTAGGCTTATGGGACATCCCACAGTTACAGCTACAGAATGCTTGGTTTTCCAGAAGTTCAGTCTTGGTTTTCTTTAATTGTTGCAACAGTAAAATACAGGAAAAGTAACTGAAGTCTCTTTTCTCCTGTTCTCAACCCATACTGACACCCATTAAAACAGAGCTATGCATTTTTCCAAGTAGTGACAGTGAGAACTGAGACTTCTAGTTTGAGGATCTATGATCACTACAGGTATAGTAAAGAATTAGTCTTAGGGCTTGTGTACACAGAGATAAAGATGAATTTATTAAGGCAGATTTTCTAACACCCAATTTTGTGAAGTCAAAGATGCATGTTCCTACTGTGTGCAAGATTTCAACGTAGTGCCTCCCCGTAGGGTGGCTACCGTCAACTGACAGCTATGGACTATGGGTAGCTATCCTACAGTCCCTTTGCATTCTGGGTTATACTCCCAGTCCCTGCTGGGATGAAAGCAATGCAATGAGTGGTTCTGGGTACATGCTGTCAGCGTTCCATAATGCATTCATCTCCTCCTCTTCTTGAAAGCGATGGCAAACAATCTTTTCATGCCCTTTTCTCCCTGGTTATCTGTGCAGACACCCAGGGTAAGCATGGAACCCAACATGACCCTGTTCAGCAGCAAAGTTCTACGGCAGTCACATTAAACATCTTGCATTTTATGATGCAGTATGCCCAGAGCATAACAAGAGCCTGCTGGATTAAGATTGAATCTCAGGAGGCCATGAACATCACCTTACCTCAGGTGCTTCACAGAAGTTAAATCAACATTTGATCTTACTGACACCGTGGAACACCATTTCTGGTGCCGAGAGACAAGCACAGACTGGTGGGATTACATAGGACAATCACCTGCAAAACTTCCATGGAGCTTTGCAAATTGCTTTTGTCATGGCTCCTTCCCCACTCTGGCATGATAAATGCAGAAGTGGGGGCCAGCAAGTGTACCCCAAAGCCTTATCTACCAGGCTTTGGTATAAAACTTGCCCCAAAATCTTAAAAACCTAGATTTTGGGAATAAAACTTCCGCTGCCACCACCCAAATATTAATAACGAGATTAGGGGAAGATCATTTGGGAAATCTCACCCCTATTATAAAAATCAGGACACGCAGTAACCAATGCCAGGTTAACAAAAAGAAAAGAGAAAACTTTTATTACAACAATATTCCTGTTGCAAGCACAAGGATCAGATGGAAAGGTAACAAAATATACTCATGGAGGAATTACACCATGGGCTAGAACTTAGTTAAAAAGAAAAGCCAAACATCTCTTAAGCAGTGCCAGATATCAGGTCCCATACCCAACCCTTAAAACAATAAAGCCTAAGGAAACTACCTAAACCTTACTCTACTTACAGAAAGAGAAGCATTGTTTCTTGGAGAGAGAGAGACATGCTTGTCCCTCCCTGTAGCTGCAGAGGACTCACCCAGAGAGAGAAAAGGAAAAATCCCAAATTCCTTTGTCCCAGTTTGCAAGTCCCACCTAAATTCCTACTGGTCACGCCACCCGGCTAGGTGTAGTTAACTCCTTAATCCCCAGGCTGCTGGCTAACCCTCATAATCATGACAGCTTTCCTCACCCTGAAGTGCAGCAATACTAGAGACCTGCTGTGACAGTTTAGAAGTGAGTGGCAATAGCCTAGTAGAAGTTAGCAACACCAGACAGTCAGCTGGGAATCAACTGAAATTGGGGAAATCTACAGTGGGGGCTGTTGTGATCCAAATAGGCAAGATATCAATACCTTTCTTCTGCAAAGGATAACGACTTTAGGAAACGTGCTAGATCTGTGGTGTCCAGCATGCTAGCACCTTACCATATGTGACTATTTGTTCAGTTGAGCATGCCTAGTTCACTATAGCAGAAGCCAATATAGTGGCTACTTCTTCAGAACTGGTTGGACACCACGGTACTAGACATAGGGAACAGCTTTGCCATGATGGGGTTCACTAACTTTGGTGGGGCAACAGTGGAATGCACATCCCCATCTTGGCACCCGACCACCTTGCCAAAGAGTACATACACTACAAGAGGTACTTCTTGAAGGTATTGCAGGTGCTGGAGGATCACAAAAGCCATTTCACCAATATCAGCATGGGACAGTTGGGAAAGATGCACGAAGCACACGTCTTTAGGAACTTCTGTCTCTTCAGAAAGCTGCAAGCTGAAACTTTCTTCACAGATGGGAAAATTAATATCAGAAGTGTTTGAAT